AGCGTTCAGGAGACTGAGGCAGGAGGAGTTTAGGCCCTATCACTAAGCAGGCAGATTAAACCTAACTACTCAGTCTCTCTGAGCCTCTTTTCTTTTCATATAAAATTGATAGGTGAATCTCTGTTGTGTGGGATTAAATAGCACAATGTATAAATATGTGAGAGAGGCACAACAGAAATTCAGCCAGGGATGCTGTGCCTTTAGTAAATGATCCTAAGGAAATAGTTCTTCTCAACCCAGGTGCTTGCTTAAAAGAGTAAGTTTTGCTGGGCGTGGTGGCGCACGCCTGTAATCTCAGCAGTAGGGAGGCTGAGGCAGGAGGATCGTTGCAAGTTCAAGACCAGCCTGGGGTACAAAGTGAGCTCTCAAGGCCAGCCTGAACTGTACAGGGAGACCCCGTCTCAAAAAGACAAAAAAAAAAAAAGTGTAACTTTCCTTTCATTGTCTTTTGCTGAATGAGGGCTCCCAATTTTTAGTCTGACAAGTATGGATTTTGTTTATACATGATAAAAATTTTGATAAGTCAGTTACTGATATTTCTGTTTAAGTTTCTTAATAAATAAGGATTAATTTGGCTAAAAGATTTTTTTAGGAGTGTTAGTGGGTGTTGAACCCAGCACACTAAGAGCATTTGCATTAGCACTGAGACATAGCCCTGGCCCTTTTCTGAGATGAGGGCTTACTAAATTGCTAAATTGCCCAATTTGGGCTTGATCTTGTGAGCCTCCTGCCTCAGCCCCTGGAGTTCTGGAATTATAGGTGTACATCAGCATCCTGGCTGATTCTTTTGGTTTCATTCCCCTGGTACTAAGCACGTACTCTACCGTTAAGATCCTCCAACCCCATGAAAATCATTCTAAACTGTCTGAACCCACTGTCTTTTTAAAAACATTCTATTTTAATTTTATTTGCATTTTTAATTTTATGTATACATTGTAGATATACATAGTGATCACATTCATCATATGGAATTCGTACCTGTACATGATATATCTTGCTGCTTCTTTTTTCCCATTCCCCTCCCCTCCCTTCAACCTGAATCAATTTTCTTGCTCAAAGTCCACGCTATTGAATATATTTGGTTTGCTTTTCTTGCAGGCGGGGGGCAGGCAGCATACCAGAAATCAAATTCTTGGTTTGCTTTTTGATAGTAGAGGATCTTAGAACACTTTAGAACTTTGTAGGTCAAAGAGTCAATGCTAAGAGGAAACCTTCCCACGGCAAAACCTCCACAGCCCAACGTATCAGGACGCCATTTGATTTTGTTATTCTTATTTTGAGACAGGGTCTCACTGTGTAGTCAGGGCTGGCCTCAAACTCATGGCAATCTTCCTGCCTCAGCCTCCTGAGTACTGGGACTACAGGTGTGCACCACCCAGCCCATCAAGACACCATTTGAACCAGGACAAGTAACTCAAAGCAACCACATTCACAAGGGACAGATGCAATTACTTAAATGCATAGCCATTTATTAATTTACAATAAGGACTGCATTCTGAGACCATAAAATATCAATGTTCCCTGTCTAGGCAAGCCCCTCCCCTCTGCTGGAAAGTAAAGAATTCATCAGCAAGTAGCTTGGCAGGTATGGGGTCAGTCTTGCAGACTACTTTGTCGGGCCATGTAAGGTCTGATGAATACTGCCATGGTGACTGAACTTGTACCAAACATAGCTTCTGCCAACCTAGTTTTTTGTTCGTTTGGTGTTGCTTCAGGTTAATCCCAGAGCCTTGCATATACCAACAACGTGCTCTGTTCCTTTGCTATACCCTCTGCCCAATCTCTACATTTTCCAGCCTCCCTGTGAGTAGATTTGGGTTTTTTTTTTGGTACCAGGAATCGAACTCAGGACTTAAAGCTTGCCAGGCAGGCGCTTGTGCCACTGAGCTATATCCCCTGCCTTTGAGCCTCCCTGTGGAAGGGCCCAATTGACCATTCTTTGAGTCATGCCCTCTTTATGTCGGATCAATCCTCCAGATGATTTTACTCCTGCTTATATAATTATAATCACAATCTAGTCCTGCCTTCCTGAACTCTCACTGAGGAACAATGGCAGAAATTTGTGTGACCCCAAACTCTTCAGGAATCCATTTGTGTCCTCCCCGCTCCCAGTGGCTAATCTACCCTTCCTGTTGCATTTTACTAGGGGACCCACAAAAACAGCCACATTTTCCCAGCGGCCAAGTTCGTCATAGATACTATCAAGGACTACGAAGAGGGGCACTCACGTGACCACAAATTTGTAACAGTGCCAAAGTACTTGACTTGGGATAAATTAATATTGACCGTAATCCATATTTAGGGAATAGGTTCTTCACACGTTGTTTGCCCTACTTCTTTGAAAACTCAAAACAGACAACATTTTTGTCAATCAAGGTATTCAGTTAAAATAGTAAGCTGAGCATGGTGCTGCCCACTTGTAATTTCAGCTACTCAGGAGGATGAGGCAAAAGGATAGCAAGTTGGAGACCAGCTTTGCCAATTTAGTGAGACACTAGCAAATTTTTTTGTACCAGGACTCGAACTCAGGACCCTGTGCTTGCCAGGCAGGTGCTATACCACTGAGCTATATCCCTGGCCTGACACTAGCAAAATTAAAAATAAAAAGGGCTCAGTGATGCAGCACCTCTCGTTCAATCTCCATCACCATACACATACATACAAAGATGGCAAATTAGTTTTGAAGATACTTCTATTAAGGACAAACTGTCTTAACAAAATTCTACTTGGCAAGCACCTGTGTTCCCAGCTACTCAGAAGGCTGAGGCAGGAGGATCCGTGGAGTCTGGAAATTCCCAGCCAGTTTGGGAAACAGTGAGATCCAGTTTCAAAAAAAAGAAAATCTACTTTGCTTCTCTAGTTCCTATGCCCTTGCCTCTCAAGTTTTAGTCTTATGACATTTAAACCCTATGCTCTTGTTTTCGGCCTGTGTTTATCTACTGTGACAGTTTCTCCTTGGTCTCTGTTATTTTCCCCCTTTGCATCTCAGTTTCTATGGGTCAGAGGTGAACTCACATAACCCCCCCTCAGGTCCCCCCAATTCTTTCTTTCTTGGCAGTCTCACCGTATTACGCAGGCTGGTCTTGAACTCCTTATCCTCCTGTCTAAACCTCCCAAGTACCTGGGATTACAGGCAGGAACCACTGGGCCTAGCATATACCTCTCTCTCTGTCTGTCTGTCTCTCTGACTGAACATCTAGGGCCTTTGTAATGAGAAACACTAGCCCTTTTTTGTATTTTTATTTTGAGACAGGTTCTTCCTAAGTTGCTGAATTGTCCATGCTGGGCTGGAACTTGTGATCCTCCCGCCTGAGCCCCGCAGATCGCTGGGATGACAAGCATGCACCATCATTCTTGGTTTTCTCATTTTTTTCACGTGTTATTTCTTCCTTCCCCTCTCTCTTCATCTCTGTGTTCCTCTTTTCCTTTGTTCTTTCTTTCGGATATCCATTTAATTGTCCCGCCCCTCCTCCCTTCTCTCTGTGATTCTCCTCACCATCCCTTCGCTTCCTCTTCGTTCTCACTGTGTGTCTCCGACGCTGGTCGTCATCTTTCTTCCGGTTTCTGCTGATCAGTTACTGTTAGTGTCTGTCCATTTATGTCCTGCCCACCCCAAGTGGCCAATCTTACCCTTCCTGTGTGCATTCTACTGGGTGACCCACAACCATATTCCCCTAATGGCCAAGTTCTTGGTCCTTCTTCACAGACACTATCCATACCTCTGTCTTTGTGTCTGGCACTGCCCCTGCTTGTCTTTCTGCTGTCTCCAAGTCAACACATCCGCCTCCTCTCAGTGAATCTTCCACCGTTGGCTCGCTCCTCTCTGCCCTCGGCCTTACAGCTGCTCTGCTCCGTCCCCCTCCGCTGTTTCCCACCTCTCTGCTCCCAGCCAGCTAACCTGTGGGTCTGCCACTGTCCCCGCAGCCTCTCCTGAGCCGGCTTGCTCCTCCTTGGCCCTCTCTCTTTCACTCTCTGGACTAGCTGCACCTCCCACCCTTGGGGCTCCTTCCTGTCAGCCTTTATTCCTACTTTTCTTGTCCCCTTTGTTTATGAACATTTTACCAGTTCTATGACGTAGGTTCCTCTCAGCATCTGAAACAGTCATTTTCAGGATTTCTGCCAATGCTTTTCCTGCTGGTCCTCAACCTCTCTTTGCCTCGGTCTCCCCTATGCGGTTAATTCTTCTCTCTTTCTATCCAACCCTCAATCTTGGTAGATCTGTTTCTGTCACCCTCTTTGTCTTCCTCTCCCTCAGTTTCTCAGCAGTATTTTTAAAAAGCTTCCTGTCTCGTGCTTTGGAGCATGTATCTATCTTTTCCATGGAAGATTAAGGGTTATCTCTTTTTGTCCATTGTTTAGGAGAAAAGCAACCTTAACTGCTTTACACTTTCTGCAACCTGGATATTCTGACTGAGAAGAGAAGGTCTTGTGCAATAAAAAAAAAATGCAGCAGAAACAGCAGAGGGAGGAAAGGTTTGAATGAGTCTCAGAATAGGGTCACCTGTTCCTTTACCCCTTGGCAGCCTAAGGGGAGCTTCCTCTCCCCTGCTGTACCCCTCCCTCATTCTTCCATAAAATCTGAGGCTGAGAAAGCCCTACACTGGGGACGTAGATTGGGCGCTGGAGTCCTTTCTATGCCTTCAATACTGTTTTTAAGAAGATAGACCTAGCCCCATGACCATTCATCTAAAAATCTACATTTTCTTTGGAAAGGTCACAAGGTATTAAAAAAATTTAAAAGGCTGGATACAGTAAGACTAATATTAAATACAAACTCAGTATCTGTAGTGCAGCTTTGGGAACCAGAAAAATCAGCAGTAATTGCAACCACCGGTGTTCTTCTGTCACTTGGCAACCGGTATGCCTATCTCTACTGGTAACAGATCATATCTCTTTTTATTTATTTATTTATTGTTTTTGTTTTTGAGACAGGATCTCACTATGTAGTGCAGGCTGGCCTTGAACTCATTTATGCAGCCCAGGCTGACCTCAGACTCATGAACACTCTCCTGCCTCAGCCTCCTGATTGCTGGGATTACAGCACCACTGGGATGTGCACCACTATGCCTGGCCAGATCATATCTCTTGTGCCCTCCTCTCCACTGCCAAAATTTGGTCATAAGTGAGGTCTCCCTTCCCCTCTGGCCCTGTCCCCTCCATGCCAGGTCTCTCTGATTTTCATCTGTCCCTGTGCGGGAGCAAGGGGTTTCTGTTGTCACTGGCAGTTTCTTCCAGCTCCACACTTCCTGCTACTCTTTATTGAGAACTCTGGCTGTACCTCTTGAGTTCTCTTTCTGGAAAGAGTGGTCATACGATGATAGATTTTAGTGAACAGTAATCTAGGTTCCCACCCAGCCACCCGCGTCAGCATGTCTTCTTAGCTCCTAAGAAGAGGGTAGGAAAAAAAAGAAGAGGGTAGGAGGAGAGGACCTGAGATACTGATAATCCAGTCCAGCCATTCACCCCGCGAGAGACTGGACAGTGAAGCCCACCATCTTCTAGTCCCCCTCCACAGAGCTGGCAGAAGACGAGTCTGCCGCTTCTCTCTAGTGTTTCAAGTTCAGAGTGGAACCATCCCCGGCAGTAGGCTCATCACAGCATGTCCTGGTCCCCCCGGTCTCCTTGTGTCTCATGGATGGGTGGGGCCGGGGCTGAAGAACATCACTGATCAGAATCTGGAGACCTATTTTGATGGAAATGGCACTCACAATGAACAGCCCAGACCCACCGAGAATGATCAGAGCAGGGGGCATCTGGCGGTGCTGTCGAAGTATCCACAGACTCATCCATCCCAGTGGTATCAGACGGAAGAGGACCAGAGTGCCCAGGCTGGCCAAACTGGTCACACTGAAGGCCACGGAGGGGGCCTGGTGAGAAGTCAGCAGCAGAATCCGCAGGTGCAAGCAGATGGAGTTCACTTCTACCAGCAGAGACACCACAGAGAAGCCCACATAGTGGCCAGACAGAACAACAAAACCGAAGCAGCACACCACCTAGGGACAGGGCTCAAAGTCAGAAGACCTTCCCTGACTGGTACCTACCACGTACCAATTTCTCAGTCCTTATTCAAGGGGTTCCTAAGAATTTTGTAGGGCCACCTCCAAAACTTGAACTTTATGTTAACTTTTTCTTTTGTTTGGTTTGAGACAGGACCTCGCTATATAATCCAGGCTGGCCTTGAATCTCTATGCAGTCCCCGCTGGCCTGGAACTCTGAATTTTCCTGCCTCAAGTGCTGGAATTACAGGCCTGTGTGACCATGATCAACTTAATTGCTATCTTGGCCCAGGGGTCTCAACTCTGGGCTTCTTTGCTTTGCATTTTTTTCTGGCAGCACTGGGGCTATACATCTGTACAGTGCCTCCCAGCTTCCGTTCCTGGGTTTTGTGCTCCATCCCCACATCCTGTACCAGGGCTCCTCCTTCCTGGAAAAGCTCCATAGTCAATGTTCCTGTGATCAGCTGAACACTTGTAGGGGAGCCAAGACTCCCAGGTGAGGCCAGCAGTCAATCCCTCCCCCTCACTCAGCCTAAGATTGGGAGGATCAGGAGCCAAGAGTCAGAGAATCTGTGGCAAGTCAGAGGACAGAAAACTGAAGAGCTGGCATGATGGCACATGCCTGTAATCCCAGCACTCAGGAAGCTGAGGCAGGAGGACTGCTATGAGTTCAAGGCCAGCCTGGGCTATGTAGTGAGTTCAAAGCCAGCCTAAATTACACAGTGAGACCCTATCTCAAACAAATGAACAGGAAACTGAAAAGAGGCTGGGGACTCCAGGTTGGGCAAGCCTCCATTTCCTGGCTTTCCTTTTCAGAATCTCACCGCCAGATGATGACAGAGAAGCTCCCACGTCTGGCCCAAGGTTTGGTTCCACAGCAGATCAGTTCCATCCGCCAGGAAATACCCTGTGGACACAGGGAAGGGGTGTTAGGCCTCCCCAGAAGTGGCGCAGAGCCAAGAGAGGAGCTTCAGCCTTGTTTCCCCAGGTCTTTAGGTTGTCTCAGGAAAATGCCAGAAACATTCAATCCCCGTGGAAGTGGGGAAAGGGTCCTGGAATTCTGGATCTAAAGTTGCCCTCACTGACCTAGCCTTCCCTGCGACTTACCCACAGACACTGCCACCAGGACCAGGGCCCAAAATGGGTGGCCATGCACTGGGTCTGAGGCCATCTGAGGGTACAGCGACAGCCTGGGGAAGATAAGGGAGTCAGGGTCAGTCTCTGCATACCCCTGACCCACTCTGCGGCGTGTATGCCTTCCCTCCCAGTCCCACCGCACGCCAGTCTCAGGGCTGGGTCTTCTAACCTCAGCCCTCCAACCCCCTCATCCTCACGCCCATGCCTCTCCCACCCGCCAGCTCCGCACCCCAGCAGCGAGCCGGCCCCGGTGAGCAGGCTGTGCAGCAGGGAGACACATCTGTTCCGCCACTTCCAGCGGTCCTGGGCGGTGGATCCCGGCGCGGGCAGCAGCTTCAGCCCCCAGTGCAGACCCCGGAACGCGGCGAAGGAAGCGCCGGTCGCCAGGAGCTCCGTGGGAGCCATGGCGTGATGAGCCGGCTGGGTCCTGATCCGTCTCTTCTGGCTCTGAGCCCTGAGCGGATACCCCGCGCTTGCTTGCGGGGTCGGAGATCGGCTTTGCGGGCGGGGCTGGACCCTTAGACTCTCTCACCCAACCCGCCCAACCCGCCCAACCCGAAGAATCTGCTATATCTTCTCCGGGCCTGTCCACGCCCCCATCCCTCATCTGGGCAGCGATTGGAGCAGCCACGGGGCCACCGCCCATGGAGCCACGACAACCGATCGCATCCCGCCCCAGTTGGGGTTAGCTTTTGGGGGTTCCTGGGCACCACCAAGCCGTGCAAGCCAGGGTTGTCAGTGGGGATTTTTCCCCAATGCCATGTGTCCCAAATCCGTCGGAATTCCGGAGATGGTCGCCAATCTCACCTGATTCATCTGGGGCCCCGCCCCACTAACTTTCACCTTCTTTCCCCTGCTTCATCTCTCACCTATTGCTTATCTCTCCCCACTCGCCCTCGCCTCCCTGGAGGTAGAAGCTAGAGCAACTCACCCCACTGGCCTGAGCCCAGTCACTGCAGTGCCTTGCCTTTCACTCGCTGTCAGTTGTAAGGGCGCCTCACCTTTGGAGACACCCTTCTGCCTTCCTGGGTTTCTAAGCCATTGACACATCCCACCAAGCCTGTAAGTCCAGGAGTCCTGCTGTTCCCATACGTAACCCCTTCAAAAAGGAACAGCAACCGGGCATGGTGGTGCACACCTTAATCCCGGCACTCAGGAGACTGAGGCAGGAGGATTATTGCAAGTTCAAGACCAGCCTGGGCTACTAAGTGAGCTCAAACCCAGTCTGAACTGCACAGGGAGACCCTGTCTCACGAAGACAAAAACAAAACAAAACAAAACAAAACAAAACAAAACAAAACAAGACAACCAAAAACAGCAGCACCCATTTTGGAGAAGCAACACCCAGGAGACATCCTTCTCCCACCCCCACCCCCCACCAGCTGATCCTTAATAGGAAGGGGAGGAGAAAGAGAAGCCACTTACCCCTAGTCTTGAAAAGTGCTCCCTCCCTCAGGGCTTTGCACTTGTTGGGTGGGTCAACTACCTCCTCCAACATGAAGGCAAGAAGTAACACAGGTTCACCTCAAGTTTGGGGCACAGTCAGAAGAGAAAACAAAGACATGTGGTGTTTTCAGCAGCCAGACTATTGGGATTCTAGGATTCTTCAGCCTTGGAGGGAAAAATCCTCCCCAATCCCTCATTCTTCTGAAGGAGGACAGGTTTTTACTCTTTTCCCTCCTTATTCCACTCCACAACTCTCTACTTGGCTGACAACCAGCAAACCTAAGAGTTGCCTTCTGTATATGGAAGATGGATTCTGGCTACTCCTAATGAAGTTCTTAGCTCTTTAGCCTTGGCAGCAGAAGCACGATGGTGAAGGGAGTATCAGTTTGGGAAATACTGTATTAAGCAATACACAATGACACTCCTGTGACTCAAAGGCCTACAACCTTCAGGAGTCTACCTACAGCAAATGTGGCCACCCCACCAAGCACGAGGTAAAGTATAACTGGAGTGCCAAGGCTAAAGGACAAACTACCACTAGGACTGGGTGAATGAAGCACCTAAAAATTGTGCATTGCAGGCTCAGGCATGGGTTCTGGGAAGGAACGACACCTAGACCCAAGAGAGCAGCTGTTGCAACATCCAGTTCATCTTGAGAATTTCAAGGATTATCACAATAAATACATTGGTTTTAAAAGAAGAGAACAAAAAATATGACATTCATAGGGTTGGGATATAGCACAATGCTAGAGCACTTGCTTAGCATGAGTGAGACACTGTGTTTGATCTAGAGCACCAAATCAAACCACACCAAGGACATGAAGTTCTGGTTAGCATTCCAACCAAACATTCTCACCAAGGGCTAAGTGCATCCTTCCTTCTGTACCCACTTACCCAAAGGATTAAAAAAACACACTGATCTTTAACATTTTATTTATTATATGTGACCAATATACAATCAATGTGGAAAATTTGGAAATTACAGGGAAACTACAATTGGCTAATTTCACCATCCAAAGGTAACCATAATGATATTTTTAGTACATTTTCAGTTTGTTTTAAAATCTATTCTGGGGGCCCAGGATGTAGCTCAGTGGCACAGTACCTGCCTGGCAAGCACAAGGTCCTGAGTTTGAGTCCTGGTATGAAAAAGAAATCTATTCTGTATATACAAGTACACAGTCATATTTTTAAAGTACTTTTTTTTGGTACCAGGAATTGAACTCAGGTCCTTGCACATGCCAGGGAGGCGCTGTGCTGCTGAGCTATATGCCCGGCCCTGAAAGTAAATTTTGTTTAAAAACTAGATCACACACACACACACACACACACACACACACACACACACACAAGAAACTAGATCACATAATACAAACTATTTTTATAACCTTTTTAATATTCAAAGAGCAATTTTCTTTCCAGCATTCTCTATGGCTGTGCAGTACTCCACCATCTGGATAGCTATACAATAATTTACTTAAGCAATCCCCTATTGCAAATTTTCATTACAGCAGAAAAGGAATGAATTCCCAATCAAACAGGTGTTTTCCATTTTTCTCTATTGCAATCCTGGGATAAACATTTTACAACCAAATTCTGAATTACTTTTTTAGGATAAATTCCCAAACAGAATTACTAGGTCAAAGGACATGGAATCTTTTAGGGTGTTTAATCTTATTACTGAACACACATCCAGGAAGGCTGTACCAATTCATATTCCCATATGCAATGTACGGCAGTGCTCTTTTGTCAACATTGAGTCTTATTCTGTTATAGGCTGCTATGGGAGACATCAGTGATATTTGCCTTCTTTTAATTACTAATGAAGAATATGGTTTGCTTAACAGTTTTATCCATCTGAATTTTTTAAAACGAATTTCCTGGGCATGCCCTTTCCCATTTAACTCGTGCTCTTTGAGGCTGCTCATGTAAAAATCACAGAGCAGGTGGGGTGGAAGAAGAGGAGGGTGAAAGCTGCTGGACACTTCACTCTGACCTCACATGCCCAAGGGAGGCCGGACTGGAGAGAAATGGTGAGTGAAGCAGATCACTGGAAGCTTGGCCTTGCTGGGGGCTGGCTGTTCTCCCTCCTCCTGGGGTGCTGCAGGCCTTTATCGGCCCCTCTGCTGCAAGCCCAGAGAGGGTCTTGTGCTTCCAAGCCTGGCCCTTTACTAGTCTTCTGCCTGCCTCTGTGCTGCCAGGCGGCCTTCCTCATCTGTGCTCCATGAAGGGTGAAGATGGCAGAGCCACATACTCAGCGCTGGAGACACACACTGTGGCCAGTGAAGTGATGAGGGGAAGAAAGGACGGAGGCAATGCCCAAGCACAGAGCAATCTTTGTTGCAACTGATGAGTGGACTCCATCTACCCACCTCCCTCTCCCACAGCCCACACACATCCTACCCCTCAGCTCAGGTGGCAGGAAGGCTGGGTGCAACGATCTACTTTCATTATTTATTTATTTTTCAGTTTCTCATAAATGCAGATCAGGATAGAACTCCCTGCACATCTCCTCCCACCAAAGAGAACAGTTTCCTGTAGCCCCTGAACTTGGTCCCCATTTATTAGGGAGTCTGGGCCAAGACTGAAACACACCATATCAAGTGTGTGAGAATGGATCAGAAGTTGGAAGTGGTTTATACTGCCTGGTGCCCAAAAGGAGGTCACAGTCCACAATACATCTCCCTTGGTTGTTGAAAGGGAGAAGTTTCTGTCTGCAGAGGCCTGAGCTTAGTCTCACACACTACCCTGGAAAGCAAAGTAAAAGAAGAAACAGCAGTGGCAGCCAGAACTCTGTACCAGAGTTCTACTTTGGGTGGCAGCAGAAGCCTTGGGCCACCCTTGTCTAGTGGAAAGTCACTGTTGAGACTGAGCTCCTACTAGCCTTTTAACTGATGGATTGATTGATTGATCGAGACAGGGTCTTGCTGTGCAGTTCAGGCTGCTGACCTTGAGTTCATTATGTAGCCCAGGCTGGCTTTGAACTCAGGGGACCCTCCTGCCTCAGCCTCCCAAGTGCTGGGGTAACAGGTGTGCACCACCATACCCAGATCCTACTGGCCTCTTACACTGGTCTAATCCTAGCCCCACCTTCCAACTGCCCCTCCCCAAACCCAACAATTTATGTCAAAAGCTGTATTGTTCCCACCCACAACAGAAGGAGAGCCCCGCTCTGAGTCAGCATAGATGGACTTCTGATTCCCTCCTGTACACTCATCTGTGGGAGTCCCCATTTCACAGGTGGATAATCAGAGACATGTAAGGGTGCCCTATAGATAAGTACCCTTAAGTCTGAATCTAGAATTTTCTTAAGTCTAAGAAAATACAGGGAAAGAAAAAAAAGCACAGGATCACTGCTCAGACTGGAGTTTCAGTGTTACCCTTCCCCTGAAGACTAAATTTATTTCTGGACCTCACCTGGAAAGGTTTGTAGGGAAGAATCATAAATACAGAAGGTCAGTGAGGAAATTTAGATAAAGGGGCAGGCAGACTTTCCTTCTCTTTACAAAGACCAACTAACCTTGGATAGTCTGAGCTACCTTCTCCCCAATTCAGCCAGTGTCTCTAGTCTAACACTGCTCTCTTGCTGGACCGTTCAGGGCGAAGGTTCTTTAAGTGAGCTGAGGTCCCTTTCCCAAAAGCCCTCATCACCTCTGCCTTCAGCCCTTCCCAGCCCCAGTGCTGTCACCTTCCAGATGATAGAGAAAGCAGCTCCTCCTTCTCTTCCTCCTCGAAGCCAGGGGCAGAGGGCAACAGTTCTTCAACTGGCAGCTTTAGCTGGGTCAGGACATAAAGCTTGCCACTGAAGAACTACTGCGGCTCAGCCAGGTGAGGATGTGGAAGGCACAGGATCCTAAAAGGAAGAGGGGGAAAAAAATGGGAAAGGCCTGAACAGGGCTGTCAAAGCTTTGTTAGACTTTCATCCTTCTAATGAGGCATTCTTGGCTTAGCCTTGGAACTGCATGAGCTCAGTGAGAAGTACAAGGCAGCTCTAAACTTCCCCTTATCCCTCTTTACATACGGAAACTACAGAAACCCTGAGCAACCCACTAGATGCTTCAGCATTTGGGGAGGGCAGGGCCTAAGATCCTGGACACTTCCCATCCATAACTCACTATTAG